TGGAGATGGTCAGTCATTGTATTGAATCGTCCTCACTGGTGCGCCCCTCACTATGGCACTTAGCACAGCATGTTACAAATGACGCTCAAAAGGCCACATTTGACTCTCTCCGCCCACATGATCATTCTAAACTATGACCTTTATCGTTCTGAAAGGGAAAGTGAAAACAATAGGGGTAAGTGAAACCTCGTAAAGCATACCTTCTCATCGTACATAACAGTGGAGATCTGTGGTAATACAAGTGTTCCAGCGGGGATATGATAGCCTCGATCTCGACATCACATGTGGTTTCATGAAACACATTCAGTGGCAAAAGATTAGCTAGCCGTTGGAATTTCCTGCAAGGAAACTTTCGAAGATGCGACTTCTGGAAACACATTCCGCGACAAGCCGATGGGCGGAGACTGACCGTTCCTTCCCCACAGGCGCGTCCCAGGGCTTGATACGACTCCGAAAGGAAAAGCCCGCTGATGAGAGGGCTCGATGGTTGAACAACTCCGCCCATCCGATTTCCGCGGAATGTCCTTTCTCAAATTCGGCCTCACATTGATTACTGCATTCATATAGTGGAGATTGGCGCGATCAGCATTCGTGATTAAACGTCCTCCAGAACCAATTACAGTATCCATTTCTTGATGTATGGACTTCTGCACTTCATCATGCAATACCACATACAGTACTCCCCAGTAAGAGTGTGTTCGAAGTCGTTTCCATTCCAGCCAGCCATAAATCGAAACACATATTACGCAGCTGAGCGTGGCTAAATTCAAACCGGTCAGCTACGAGGATTTCTAGAAGTCCCTTCGAAAAAATTAACAAATTTCGCTTCTATTTTGAATTTCAAAGACTTATACAGTTTTTCTTCAGCAGACGTTAGGGCATATCAGGAGGGCTGAGCTTGGCGCGACGCCAACCCGTTTCCCCATTGATTGTTGTCGCTTGCCTTCTTCAACAGTTGGTGGAGAACGGGTTGGCGCTTTGCCAAACCCAAGCCCAAGTTCACATCGGTTACAACTAAAACGACAGTTCACGCTGCCTGTCTGATCCGGGACATCCAACCAGTTGTGATTTCCTCATCGGAGCGCCCTCTCCACCGAACAGAGGACAAAATGGAGGGTGAAAGTGAAGAAAGCATAATAGATGGCCTGATCCCGCCCTTACGATTAGCATAGACTGTGCCTTCAAGTAAACTAAAAGTGAAATTCTTTTTCAAATCCAAACGCGTATAGCTGGCAAAGTTACCTGAATCCTCCATAATTGGGCTCATTTTCGTGACGCTTCTGTTCTTTCAGATAAGCTTCGACGTAGTCAGTGCTTTCCACGCTATCAAAATCAATTTCTTTCTTATGGATTTCGATTTGTGTGTCGAACATATCAAACATGATATTGCCATTTTCACTGACTTCTAAAATTAAGCATCTTTAAGTGCTAGTCATTATCATGGAGGGAACTGATATAGGAGCATGTTAAAACGACAGCAAACAAAGGTCCAACACTGCGCCTAAAGGCTTAGTCTATATTATTGAGTGGGCGGTGAGCCGGTAAGTCGTCATGCATTCCTGCTTGCCGCGCCCTTCCCCTCAGCAACCTAGAAAGATGAGCCCACGAGGAGAATCTCTGTTGCCGATGTCTCCCTAGTCGCTACGCCTTTGACCCTTTTGGGAAAGGTTGTCAACAACTTCACTTTCCAATAGTTGAAAGGCGAGGGGCATGTCGGGGATTTTGGCGCGGTTTTTTCAGTTGTTGTCGCGTCCCCACTATAACAATTCGTGGAGAGCGGAGTTGGTGGAGAAAGAGAAAAATGGAGTTCTGGCGTCGCCCTAAACCCAACCGCCTCCCCGACACTCCCCAGCCTCTGCAGTGAAATGACTGCACCTCTGACAGCACATGAAGGTCATGATTGTACAGCATCGGAGTGGGTCAAATGGCGGTGCCAGTACCATCCCTGCTCTTCGCTCCCCCTTCCCAAAATCCTTTCTGCTGGTACCGACCCCCCCCCC